CACCGGGAGCGGGTACTCAGGACAGATGCAGTGCCCTCAAGTGGGCTGATAGAAGAAGCTTCCTGTCTCAGAGCGTGGCCTCCCTGCGCCACAGTCACCATGACGTCATCTGCTATGAGGGCTGGAGGGAGGGGCCTCTTGACAGAGCTGGTGATGCTGGGACTTTATCCTTGATTTCGTCCTCAATACTGTAAGATACATCTTTTTAATCTGGGGTTTTTCTTAAGTTTTAAAAATCATTTTATTGTTTTTTATCTGTATGGGTATTTTGCCCCCATGGAAGTCTATGCATCATGCACTTCTGGTGCCAGAGGAGGCCAGCAGAGGGCATTGGATCCCCTGGAACTGGAGTTGAAGACAGTTGAGAGCTGCTGTGTGGGTGAGGGGGATCGAATGGGGGTCCTTTAAAAACCCGCCCATTTTTTTTTTTTTTTTTTTTTTTTTTTTTTTTTTTTTTTTTACAGGTACATGAATGAGTGGAGATTGGGGAAATCAGATCTCTTCTTTTTCCTTGCTGAGTCCCAAGGAACAAACTTATTTCGTCAGGTTTGGCGACAAATGTCTTCACCCACTGAGTCCTCTCACTAGTCTCAGCTACTCTTGATTCAGATGCAGAAACTTTGCTTATAGCCATGAAAAATAGACTACGGCAACACACACAAACACACACACACACACACACACAACTCTATGATTTTTTCACACTTAGTAGTTTAACTTTTTTTCCTTGAGAACACATGCACAGATCAGTTTCAGCTTCAGTCCTCTCTCTCTCTCTCTCTCTCTCTCTCTCTCTCTCTCTCTCTCTCTTTCGATTTTGCTACACATCCCAGGCTGACCTTGAACTTGGGATCCTTCCTCTTCAGGCTCCAGGTTCAGGGTTCTGGGCTAGAGGGTTTGTGAGGAAGGAGTGAGAACGTGGGGTACCAGCTGGGACGATCCCGGAAACAGAGTTGGTTCTGAAAGTCTGGGTAGTGTCTGTGGGGAGGATAGGTGGGCTGTGCTCCCAGGCAGGCGAGCCTCAGGGTCTGAGGTGCAGAAGCTAATCAAGAAGCAGGTGTGTCCACATTCTCTGATAGCAGTGAAACGGAGGTGCCAGGACACATTATCTGGCACTGTGTAGGACCGGGGCTCATCTCTGCTTCTGAGGTGGTATTTTCCTTCCCTCCCCCACCTCTCTCTCTTCTTCTTCTTCTTCTTCTTAATAAAAATAACTACGAAGAGTTCAAGATGCCTTTCTTTCACGACATCTCAGCACTTAGGTCCCAGCAGCACATCGGTGGCAAAGAATGTCCCCTGTCACTGTGGCTGCTTGCCTTTATTTGAAGTGTCTGGCTGAGCTATCTCCTGGTGACATGCTTCTTTCAGAGCGAATTATTCATCCCCCGCAAGCCCGGCCTCCCCCGGTCTGGACTCTGTTGGTCCCTGCAGGTGTGAAGACAGGCTCGGCCTTTGTGTGCTAGGCGCTTGTCCTCCTCCCGCCATCCCCCTCTTGGATCCCCTCCAGGCCTGTCAAGACTCTCCTCGCTCCTGGTTCTGCAGCGTGCAGGGCTGATGGCCCCTGTCATCGAGGCGAAGTTGTGCAGCCTCCAGCCCGCCTCTAATCTCCCCCTTCACAAAGGGCAGTTCTGTCACTCAGAGGGACAGCAGGCGGACCTGGATCCGGGGCCATGTGATATTACAGGAAGCAGTCTAGCAGAAGCAACCATGGCCTTCCACATGGTGCACTGGGAGGCAGGGAGTCTGGACAGGGTAGAGGGAGCGGAGCCACCCTGACCCACCCAAGTCGAGGAGCTGAGCTAACTTGGGATGTGGCACAGAAAGGGTCCAGCCTCGGGTGTGCAGGGAGGCTGTCTCAAATCATCCTGGGAAAGCTAAGAAGAGCTCCAAAGGAGGGTCAGCACCCTTAACCCCAGACGCCAGCATCCTCCACTTCTGCCTCTGGGTCCATGGTGATGAACGGTGGAGACATGGAGACAGGGACACAGTGAACAAGCTGTGAGTGGCCAGGAACCTGGAGGCTAGTGACATGGTCCCTTAGAGTCTGTCTCCTCTTCCCATGGAGAACCACACATCAGCTGCTCAGGAAAGAAGCTGTATCCAGCAGGCGTTCACTGTCTGCACTGCTGGGCTCACAGGCATTGCGACTTCTGCAGATGGGCTTCTCCCACCCGCCCAGTGTGTGGAAGTCTACGGCTAGAGTTATAATACAAAGATATATGCAGATTTTCCTCACGAAAATCTGGCTGCGTGGGGCCTAGCCCGGTTCAAGGTCACCCAGGTGGAGTTGGGCAGTGGCCTACAGGGAGCACAGGAGAGGAGGAAGTGGAGGAAGCAGTCCAGTGGCACTGGTCTCTTAACTCTCCACTGCACCTGCTGGAGCATGCATATCATTGACCTCAGCTGCATCCATTCCCTGACCTCTGGAGACCTTCAGACTTGAGAACTCAGGGACTCTGAGCAGATGCCTACTGAATCTAAGTAGTGACGTCATTCCCAGCCTCAGCTTCTCCTTCTCCCTTCCTCCCT